AGGGAGCCGCCGCAGCTCGGGCCGGCCCGGGGCGCACCGTCAGCATGTAGTCCTGCAGCAGCTCGGTGGCCGTGGCGCTCAGCTCGCTCTCGCTGACCGTCTTGGCGTGGGGCGCCGGCTGCGCGCAGAAGGCCAAGGGCGAGACGCCGCCCGCGTGCGCACACTCGGGGAAGGAACTGCAAGGACGGAGCCGTGGGCACGCGGCTCCGGCCTCCGCCTCGCGCCCGCGCCCGCGCCCCGCGCCCCCCTGCGGACGCGCACTTCCCGCCGGGGCGGCCGGCGGGCGGGGTACTCACAAAGTGCCGGCTTCCGGCTCATACGGCTCCTTCACGTCCACCTTGGTGGAAGAGTCGTCTGTACGGGGTGCGGACACAGGGCCTTCCGGTTACGTGGGCAGGGGCACCGAGTCCCGGGGCCCAGCACCCCGCGAGACGTGGGCCCTGGCGGGGGCACCTGCACGCCTTCTTGGGCAGAGCCACAGGCCCCCCGGGGGGCGAGCACCCACACCGGCTCCCCCTGGGGGCGTCCCGACCGGCACCACCTGTCGCAGGTGTGGGCCTGAGCGCAATGCTCCGGTCTTGGCAGGACGCCCCAAACGGGGCGCTGAAGAGCGCTCCCCGAGGGCCAAGGATAGCACAAGCGGGACTCGTGGCTGCCGCGCGCCGTCCTGGGGCCCGGGTCACTTTGTCTCCTCTGCCGCTTTAGACGAGGACTGGGATCCCAGAGGTCGGACAACTTGCCCCACCGCACGGGGCTGGCCGAGGGCAGGAGCCATGGTCAGAGGCAGGGCTGGCCCCCAGCCTGGACGCGGTGGGCTCCACGCAGGCAGGGAGGCGGGGCCCCCGGCACCAGCAAAGAGCCCGGGACACCCCAGCTACTCAGGAAACACCGGACGGGTGACCCAAGGTCCGCGTGACACAGGCCGTGAGGGACACGGACACCGTTCTGCACAATGCTGAGCTCGGAGAGGCGGCTGAGAAGTGCCGAGTCGGGGAGCGGTGCGAGGAGCAGGGGGCGCTCCTGGTGCCTGGAACACCGGGCTGAGTGAGCCGCCTGCCCAAAACGCTCCGCAGATGCAGAGGAGGGGGTGGCCTCCACGTGCTCCCCCCACCCCAGACCCAGAGCTGTGAGGTCTGGGGGTTCCTCCCCACACACACCGCCTCCAGCCCCCGGCCCTCTGTTCTGAGGCAGCTGAAGGGACTTCAGCTGAGAAGGCGTTCCCTGCCCCCCGACGTGGTGCAGGAAGCCGCCAGGCTCCCGGGCGGGGCCGTGTCTGCCTGCAGATGGACCTGGGCAGTGGAGTCTGGGAACGAGGCACTGGTACAGAGCCACAGGGACGGGGACAGCAGCGCCACTGCCCGCCCACGCCCACGTACCGCTGTGAAGGGACAGGTGGTGGGTGGGCGTCGAGGCCCCGTCGAATATGGCTCTGTCCAGAAAGTCGATCGTGGACTCCGTGTACACAATCTGGAAGACCTGCCCCAGCAGAGAGCACAGCTCCTCCGCAGCGACCTGCCGTGGGGACAGAGCCGGACCTTCCTGGACAGCGTGCCGGCCACCTGGCTCCTCAGATGCCCAACCAGCACCAGGACCAAGGGCCCTTGGCCTCCCACTGCCCGACGGGGCCACATGGGGACCAGCTCACGTCCAGGCGGCTCTCTGGACCCAAGGGGGCCAGGTGTGCCAGTCAGCTGCCAGCCCTCCTGCTCCCCCCACCTGGCCCACCAACACCCTGCCCAGCCTGCTGCCCCAGGCTCGGGGACAGCACTCCCAGCACGGGACACGGCTTCACACGCGTGCTGTTAGGGCAGGGTCCCCTCCGGGGCGGTTCTGCCCCTGGACACGGGGAGTGACCAGAGGGGCCTGCAGTGGGGACAGGCCAGGGAGGCAGCCCCATGAGGAAGAACTGGCTAGAAGGTGGGCAGAGCCAAGGAGGGCACTGATCAAAGGGTCCCCAAGGCAGGGGGTCCCCACTGCAGTCTTACAGACACAGAAACTACAAACAAGGCGACCAAGGAGCTCCTGGAGGCTGGCAGCCCTTGGGTAGCTGAGGGGGCCCCAAGCCCTAACTTGCCACTCCCAGGGCACAGCTTGGGGTGCAGAGACCACCACCCCCATCAGCGCTGGGGAAAGGGTGAGGCCCCTGGAAGAGAAGGAACACAGCCTGAAGGCACCAGACTCAGTGAGCCGGACAGGGGCCTAAGCGGGGCCCTAAGCAGGGCCCTGAGCATGTTGTGGGCGGGGTCTGGGGGGAGGTGGGAGGGGCCAGGGTTGGGGGGCTATGGGAGGGGCCTGAGTCACGGTGTGGGAGGGACCTGGGTGGGAGGGGCCTAGGTAGGGCTAGGAGAGGAGCCTGGGTCAGGTTGTGGGAGGAGCCTGGGTCAGGGTGTGGGAGGGGCCTGGGTCGGGGAGGTGGGCGGGGCCTGGACAGGTTGTGGGCAGGACAGGCGCCGGGTATCGGCGGGCCTGAGTCCCAGGTCCCACCCTCTACTCACCTTGCTCTCTGTGGCTAGGATTACCAGGCAGCAGGCCTCCACAGGCCCTACTCCGCTCTCTGACAGGGAGACTGCGGTGAGGCCTCTGGAACTTTCTGCACACAGACTCTGGCTGGGGGAGATGCCAGGGTCCTGGGCTGAGAAGTCAACAGCGCAGCAGGTTAGAGCAGGTTGGGAGCTTGACAGCAGGCTCTAGGCAGGCCCTACCTGGCTCAGGTAAGGGACAGGCGTGCCCCCTGCCCCACCTTCCCAGCTAGGCTGCCCCCATCCCCACTCCGCGGCGGCTGCTCTGGCCACTGCTCACCGAGAACTGCCACCCTACAGGGCCCTCTAGCATCCCTGCCACGGAGGATGCTAGCAGCTTGGGCTGAGACATGAAATGGCCAATATTTAGCTGCTTTTGGTCTACACACAAGATGGTATTCCCAGGGTTCCGCTTACAGGAACCATGGGCATGAACACAATCCTGACAGATGGGGACACTGAGGTGTGGGGCCCAAGGGCGTGAGAGGGGCAGAGTCCAGGAGGGGATGTGGACCCCGGCCCACGTTTCTAACACTCCGCCCACCACCTCGTCAGACGAAGGTCCCAGGGCGCGGACGCACGGGGCAGCTCCCGGCCTGCCCACAGCAGGGAGGGAGGCCCCCGCCCTGGGAAGTACGAGCGCGTGGGACCGGGGAGCAGGAGCTGGAAGTGAAGCTCACATTCCCCCTGATGCTGGGGTGTCTCCGGACAGGCCCACCCCAGCACGGAGGGCACCCGAAGCTCAGACGTGGCTGGGAGCCGGGAACCAGGCAGAAGCCACACTCGGGACGGGTGTGCCCGCAGAGCCCGGGGCCTGGCACCCCATGAGCCCCACGAACGCCGCCGTCAGACCCCAGGACCGCACCACCGGGCCACAGGCCCTGAGCCCGTGAAATGTGGCAAGTGCACACAGTGCCGTATGCGGAGTGCAGACTACACACAGGGTCTCGGGGGAAGTACAAAGAAGACAGGGGACATCTTGTTAATAATGGTCATACTGGTTATGCGTAGATACAAAGGGCTGAATAAAATACGTTAACACTGATTTCACTTGCTTCCTTTCACTTCCTTTACTGTGGCTACTAGAACATTTTAAGTAGCTCTGTGGCCCCCAGCATTGTCTGACGTGAGCATTCCCGGTCGTAGTCCCGCAGGCTGTCCTCACAGCTCCGGCTTCAGATCCCCCATCTGCCGTCCGACACCCACAGAAACACCCTCCGCGTCTGCACGGTCTGCCCCGCCCCGCTGCGCCTGGACATCGGGTCACCTGCCCTCCAAGCAGTGCCCGCCCCACGGAGCCCCTGTAGCCAGACCCAGACCCCACACACCCATGTCCCCCCACGCTGCCCCAGGCACCAGCACAGCCTGGCCCGCAGACGTGCACACATGGGCTGCGCTGGTAGGCACTTACTAAACACGGCCAGCACACTGAGGACCCCTACGTGCAGGATCCCATACCCAGCACGCTGGGGCCACTGGGACGCGCAGGCTCATGGTCTCAGGACCGTCTGCTAAAATGAGGAAGACACCCAGGACACAGGGATTCCTTCTCTTCCTTTAACTCAAAAGCCCTCAAAGCTCTGGGTCCCGGTTTCCGTCTCATTTGGCAAAGCATCTCCTACAGCGCTCATTCTCTCCCTCGCAAAAAATCTGTTACCCCTTTCTTAGCAATCTGCTCTAATGATTAACGCTGATATGTGTCCCACCACACAACCAACCAGGGGGCCCAGCTCCCCACCCACCAGCTTCCACGCCTGCAGGCGCCAGTCAGAGGTCAGTCTTCCCGTTGCTTTTTGTCCCTCAGGATGCCCCAGACCTCGGGCCTCCTGCGGGACCGTCCGCGCCCAGGTAGGCAATGGCAGGGGCCCCGATGAAGCCACTTCCCAGGCCGGCCGGCCCCGCCACACCCTGCTGGGCCCCCCGCCAGTCACTCAACCTCTGTGCTCCGCTACTCCATTTGTGAAGTGGGAGAACACGGTCCTCACCGTTGAGCGGGATGTTACACCAGGTAATCCGTGTCCCAGGCTTCCTGCTAGTTTGAGCCATTTCTTTACATTAAAACTGCTACATATGGGCAGCTTCGTGTTGTTCAAACTAAAGTAACGCCCATCATTCAACAGGAGATGTACCGAAGGGAAATGAGGGATAAGCAGAGCACAGAGGGGTGTGGTGGGCCCGCAGCTCCCCTACCGATCTGGGCCGTGAGAGGCCCCCAAGCTCAAGGGGTCATGCGAGGAGGCTCACCAGGGCCTGGCTCTCAAGAAAATCTCTCGGATCTGCCATGAACTGCCGACCTCAGGCGGAAAAACAGTTCCCCTCTGCACTGCCTGAGCCCCCCTCGGCCCCCGCCACGGGCCCTTTGGAAATGAATGGCGTCAGGACCCTGTCCGGCTCCAGAACACCCAAGGGAGCCCACGACGAGCTCAGTATTGCAGCGCCAACCTCAGAACCCCGCCCGAGGGGCGTGACGTCTCTCCTCGTGTCTCAGTGACTTGGTACCAGGCAGAGGCTGTGGCACTGGTCGGGGGGCAGCTCATCTGGAGAGCCCAGGAGGTGACACTGGGCTCCCAACCCCGAGCGGGGGGAGGGGACCGGATGCAGGGGGCTGGGGGCCAGTGCCTGGTTTAAGGCTCCTCCTGACTCTCTTACAAGGACATGCTCAGGACGTCTGGGACCAGGAGCTCCACAATGGCCTGGTGTCCTCTCTGTACCCAGCTTTGGGAAGCCTGTGGCCAAAGGCAGGGCCCACATGTTGGCGGGGCTGGGCGAAGGCCCCCTCTCAGGTGGCAGCTGACCCAATGCTGGAGAAACTGTGTCCAGAGCTCCACTAAATTCCCAGACTCGCTCCCGAGAGCAAAGATGTGGGCTGTTCCTGCCAAGGACCCCTGACCCCGCCCCCCCCGGGTGCATACCTGTCTTCAGGACCACCAGGTGCGAGGCGTCATCCCGCACGTAGGACACAGCAGCGATGTCGTGGATGGGGACCCTGAGGATGGTGTCCTCCCCGTCCCGCCAGGCCAGCTTGACGTTGTAGGCAGACAGGCTGATCACAGCGTCATGCTCCTGGGTCAAGTGTCCGGGGAGCTGGTGGGCTCTCTGGAAGGGACGCAGCGCATCAGAAGTGCAGGCCTGCCACGGCCCCCAGGAACCCTGCACCACGCACAGGCCAGAACTCTCCCTACGCCCCGCCACGCCTGCTCCGGGAGCTCTGTTGCTTCTAGAGCTGCTCTGATTCAGACCTGTGGTGTGTGCTTTACATGTCTGGAAAATGTGAATTCTGAAAACAGCCCAAAACCACAAGGAGCAAAGCCTGGAGAATAAAGTTCACGTTCAGACAGGTTCAGTCTTTATGGCCCAAGAGCCAAGCACACCTATGATATGACGGGACAGGGTCCTCCCTCCCAGCCGTGAAGGTCCAGTGGCAGAGGACCAAGAGCCAGCGTCAGAGTACGAGGCTCAGAGGTCAGAGTTAGGAGCTGGAGCAGACTGAGGGTCAGAGGCTGGGGTTAGGAGGTATCACAGGCCAGGGGTCACAGGTCAGGGTCAGAAGGATGGGGTTACCTTTGCATTGTCTATGAAATGCAGGATTTCGGTCCTACTGGAGGGATTCAGGTATCCTGGTATGGACGTTAACTGACCTAAGTACTGCAAGAAAGTGAGGAGAGAAGCTGCCATGAGAAAGGGAAGATCAGCCCAGACCACTGTGGACACACACAGAACACGGCTTGGCTTCCGCCTTCCACCACCAGGCCTGCTGGCCTGGCTCGGGGTGGGGGGCGCGGGGTGCGGGGGGGCCCTCCGCTAGGAAGTGTGCTCTGAATTCTTAGAGCAGTCTCTCCCGGCTCAGGAGACGCTCCCACACCTGCCAATGTACCGCACTGTGAGGACTGTGACCCGTAACAGGGGCCCTTCCTCAAGCGAACTAGTTCTGCCAGGGACAGAAATACCCAGCTCCTGCCTAAAGGGGGAAACAGCAAGAAGCACGTGTGGCCGTCACAGTCCAGGGGCACTGGCTCCCTGGAGGAGCGAGACACACTGACCACAGGACGGCAGAGCACACCCCTCCCCACAGTCATCCTCCAGCCAGGTAAGCACACGGCCTCACGCGGAAGGCCCATCCACCGCCGTTCCTGTTACCCCATATGTCACGTCCAGCTGACGACAAGGGATGCCAAAAGCTGAAAACGCCGTCTGAACAGGCAGGGCAAGCACCAGAACCAGACACAGACATGGCAGGGCTGTTCTCAGGGGCCACCGGACCCAAAGTTTAAAGCAGTGCGATTGGGGACGCCTAGAGGGCTCAGTCGGTTAGGCGTCTGCCTTCGGCTCAGGTCATGATCTCGGGGTCCTGGGATCGAGTCCCCCATCAGGTGCCCTGCTCAGCGGGGGTCTGCTTCTCCCTCTGCCTCTGCCCATCTCCCCTGCCTGTGCTCTTGCTCTCTTTCTCTGTCAAATAAATGCATAAAATCTTCAAAAAATAAAATAAAGTTTATAAATAACTCAGTGGGATTAATGTGTTACAGGCTCCAAAAGAAAAAGTGGACATTGTGCTTCATGGGTAATGTAAGCAGAGAGATAGAAATGCTAAACACAGATCGATGGGAAATGCCAACGATCAAAACCACCATAACAGAAACAAAGAGGGATGGGTACGGCTGATGGATGCATCTGTAGGCTGGACACAGCCAAGGGAAGGGTCAGCAGGCGTGCACATACGTCAAGATACATCAACAGAAACTTCCCAAACTGGAAAGCAAAGAGGGAAAAGCATGAAAAAGATGGAACAGGATATCCAAAAACGACCAGGAAATTCCAAAAGTTGTGCCAGGCATGTGGTGGGATGACCAGGAGAAGCACTAACGACAGGCTCCAGACCACAGATCCGGGACTGAGAGAGCACCAGGCAGGACACACAGGGAGAAAAGAGAAAGCGGAATAAAGACAGAAGCCTGACACCTAGCATTTCATAGTCAAACTGTAAACAATCACAGAGAAAACCTTCAGGTAGGGGCGCCTGGGTGGCTCAGTTGGTTAAGCGAGTGCCTTCAGCTCAGGTCATGATCCTGGGGTCCCGGGATCGAGTCCCGCATCGGGCTCCCTTCTCGGCGGGGAGTCTGCTTCTCCCTCTGACCCTCCTCCCTCTCATGCTCTCTGTCTCTCATTCTCTCTCTCGCAAATAAATAAAAAAAA